CCCACTTTAATTTGCATCCATTTTTGGAGCGGAGTTTAGCTGAATATTAAAATACAATTATTAGAAGTATTATCATACTTTGGGCTTTTAAACTAACAACAGATTTCTGTAAACGTATGTTTCTGTAATTAGGGCTGCACAAATTGGGTAAAATCTAATAGCGTTTTTTTTTTTTATATAAAAATTGTGTGTGTTTTTTTTTTGCTGTGCTTGTAGGGCTGCACAATATGGATTTTTTTTTTTAGATTATATACCAATAAGGCCATAAAATAATAATATTTGAGCAGGAGCGTCGCATGAGCAGCGAAGCGAAGCGCCGAGTCTATTTTTGCTGCGCTGCTCACGCTCAATTAAAGTTAAAGCACACTTTTGATGGACAAAATAAATATGATTTCACACAAAAAGAGCCCAAAATGCACAGAATTTGCATATCTAGTGTGTTTTAACAAGAACTGGAGTAGGCTATGTCAGAAATTAAAATGAAGACTCGAGTCTCTATAGAAAATATTTATAGAAAATGTACCCATTCAAACTTGTTTTTATTATTCAGTTTGGGTAAAAGTATATGGTGTTTTATAAACAAAAAAATATATAGATAATAAATATTTGTGTTATTGAAAATAAAAAAGTGGTTAGAAAAAATAAAATCGGAATCGGCAGGTCAAACTCAATGAAAAGCGGAATCGGCCTAGAAAATTGTAATCGGTGCATCTCTATAATATTATCATCATCACACCAAGCAATATAGTGATTTCGGTTTCATTTCAATTAATCATGTAGCCTTATCTGTCAACATCTGCAAAAAAAATAAAAAATTGAAAGCATATATTAAAAGAAAATGATGAATTGTAGCAAAATACTATCAATGTGTAGCCTGGTTAAAACCATTCTCAGTTGTAACTGAGTTATGGTCTGGCAAAGCGTCATAGACAAATCATTTCCAGAGGGGCGTCACCAACGGACGTCGCGGATAGACCTAAACCCAATCAGAGCGATGAAGGAGATGACGTATGCAGAGCGGCGGAGAAACATCTCCGAGTGTTGTTCTTTGCTCGGTTTTTAACAAAAAGGAAACGTTCAAATCGCTTAAAACAGACGCGATAGCTGACTCGAACGAGTGATGTTGGACGGCGGCATCCATCTTTGTAATGTAGGCTACAAAATCTGCTTCAAAATCCCAGCGCTGTCATCATCGTGTAAAGCCCGCTCCAACGTTTCTGATTGGTGCCTCGATTTCGACGGATTGGAAATGGGCTTGAATGAGCTCTTTGCCAGACTAACTTTCAGAGCAAATCTAAATTTGCCGGAAGTTGTCTGGGTTTTCCCAGGCTAATCAATGTGAGCAAACAATGCATTTTAGCAAAAAACTGTAATCAAAGTTATTAAACCCATTATGATGGTCACTCACTACCTGTACACTTTTTTTGTGTACTACAGGTACTCTACGGCATCCATCGTCCAGCAATTATCCGACTCTCAGCCACCTTTTTTCCCCAATTAAACACTCCAGACTGCACAACACCTCTATCTCTTCAGCTAAGCCCAGCGGTACTTGACAGAGTAATCTTTCAACAAATCCCTCCCCAAACATTTTCACACTGGCTGTTTCCTAATTGATAAAGCTCCACGGGGGGTGCGCTATCATACGACACCACCTAGCACAAATCCACCAGTCACCGGCTGCCTTAAAGAGTCCACACACACACCAGCAGTGTGTGTGTGTGAGGTGCTAACAGCGCCGGATGAGAGAGAATGCAGAATGCTGCTAAGGCTCAGATGATGTTTTCAAGTGTACCAACAACAACACACATGGGAGAGGAGGTCGCTGACCTTTCACCCCTGTATCTACTGCATCAGCACGGGTGAGTTTATTGAATAGCCCATGATAGTTCAATCGGACATCAATAAGCACATGTGTGCACAGACAATAACGCACTAATAATGCACAGACATTCTGGCAACCAAATATATTTGTCCGAAACTGCAAAAAAAAAAAAAAAGTTTTGAACTAAACCATTAGAGCTTCTATAATGATGAGTTTTGACCATGTCAGTGTCACTTCATGCACACACAACAGAAAGTAAAACACATCAGCATATCACAGTGAACAAAACCCTATGTCAAATTTGTTCGGCTGCGTTTCATTGCAGATCTTTACAACAACTGGCTTAATTTATCACCTGCGAACACGACTCTAAACCAGTGGTTTTCAAACGGCTCCGCTTCTGGACCTCAGCTTTGTCCCATCCGGACCGCGGGCCATAATCGCACCATTGACCGTTTCTACAGTTTAAAGTGAGCAGAGCATCAAAACAACGAAGCGGTTCACACACCACAAGCGCTCGGCGTCATTTACGGTAATGATCTTTAGGCACAACTTCAATTATTTTTATTCATTTTTTTTCATTTTCGGCTAAATGAAAACTTTAAGTTTCAGTAAAAAAAATTATTTTCGGTGCATCACACATTGTAACAATACCACCAACATTTATATTTTGGAGCCATTACGCCAATAATCAGTTACTCGGGATTGACTAGCCTAGCTGAAATTTGTAATAAACTGAATTACTTATTTCCATTGAATTAGTAAGTTGTACAATACCAATAAAAGACCAAACATTTAGCCCTCATCAGCAACATGTTCAGCGCTTAATAAACGGCACTTTGCTAATTGTTTATCGACATAACCCATCTGTAAGTAATGGCTGAGGCATGTGTGACTTATCAACTCACTGTAAGTGCACTCGATAAAAAAGGGAGGAGGTATGGGAGCAGCTAGGCTGTCATATCAAGCAAGCTTTACACACTGATACACTGCAGTTTATTCAACCTCCCCTGAGAGGCTTCCAACACAGTGTCTTCGTCTCACACTAGTGAGCTGCACTAACACAAAGAGGTACAAAAAGAAGAGGCTTGTCCATTCACTTCTGTGCACAGTATGCCCAGCAATGAATTGCCAAGACACAACCCTACACTGCCCGAAACATGCTGTCTAGGTAGGCAGCTCACGAGGTTTGAGACAGTGCCAGAGAAGTCAATGACATTAGGATGCTGATCTACTTTACACAGAGCTGGATTAGTGATGCTCCGGCCTTACAGCAACACTACAGCTGAAATAGGTCTGTGCATTACGTTAGAAACTGCAGGTGATTTAAAGGGAACACTGAACATTATAGCATACAGATGACCCCTTCCTTTACTGGAGATCCAGTTGTAAATTCACTTTTAACTGCATACAAAATCAAGTCAGAAAAGATGCTCAGCTAAATAAACCTTTTTTTATTATTATTAATATGAATTTCAATTGGATATCTTACAGATGGCACAGATAATATTTAAAGATTACTCACAAAAAATAGAGATTAAAAATCAAATTTGAGATTACGATTTGTGATTTTTCACAATTTTTGTGCACTTATTGATATTATTCACGTAGTCAATTGTGTTGCCATGTAAATATGCTACAGACGTACATGCGCCATAAAATAAAATAATGCACCGTTTTGCTCCATTACTTTTCGCTGTTTTTTAACACATTGTATGCCTGAAAAAAAGGTTTGCGTTGGTTAACATTACATGCTAAAGTCTACATGTGAATGCAAAGCTCTCTAGTTTCCATTCATTTTAATGTTTAGGCCTAAGCTATGTAATGGAAAATGGGTTTTTTTAACCGTTATAGGTCAAACTACCTTAAAGGGTCAAGCAAGTGCATTTAAGCTTCCGTTTACCATATTTGAGCATTCTTTCTATGTTTGCTGATCAATATTTGTGTGAACAAAAGCCTAAATTAAATATGGTCATAAAGCGATCGTGTCTCTTCAGAAGACTTGGATTATTTTATGATCTTTATTTATAAACACTGTAAAACATTTATAAAATGTCTTATGGGTTTGGAACTACAATACATTTTTGGGTGCACTATCCCTTTAAAATAACAAAGTAAACGTATTTATTAGAAATACGTTTCTAATAAAATATATTGGTTGGCTGTGTTGCAAAAGACATTCAAATGAGTTAAAAGTAGAACCCAAGTGGACAAAAAGGAGAAATATTTGTAACTGTTATAATTTAAAATATGATTATTTAGGGTAGCTATATTTGTTTACAACGCCTTTAATGAAATCATAGAATTTATAATGCGAGTCCATGTTCGTCCAAGTCATAAATTACTTCTTCCTACACGGTGTATCTGTATTAAGCGATATTAACAAGCAACCCACATTAACAAAACTGACAATTAAATCGTTAATCCCAATTATATGTATGACAAATAATCGTCAAACAAGATGTCAGGATCGTGACAGCCGGAGGGTTGGTAAATAACCGCAGGTTTCTCAGGCGTTCGTGAACGTTACCTGTTCTGTGTCCATGATGGACTCCACGAGTTATTTCAGCATAAACTCAGTATTCGTCGAAATACGGCATCGTTTTTTCTTCCCAGTAGCATTCCACGAAGTTATACTATTTCATGTCAGGACACGTGAATAAAATGTTAATCCCCATCGGTTTAGGACATAATCACCATCATAGATCAACCAGCTAAACGGTCGAGTATTAAAGAAGACCGCGTAACAGGATCGGTTGCACAACCGGATCTGCTAGTAATAACAGTATATCTGTGATAAGAACACAAAATGCATTAAAGAATTAAATATATGTGTATTTAAATCACGAACCATGTGAATGGAGGAGACACAACATTGCCGAAGGGTTATTCGCATGCCAATGGCCATGACACACTCCACCAAATAAACAATTCGCGTAAAACACCTGACATCGACACTTTTCAAATTAGTAACCTTCTCTAATCTCAGTGCCCTGAGGATATGTTGATCATTTCACAGGTCTGATATGATGTTGAGATTAAACACAGCACTGGGTGTGTTTATCAGTTCATCTCAACGGTGACTGGCCGCGTATATCAACAAATTATGAAAATATGATAGTACATGACCAAAATGAACTACGGTTACGATGGTATACATTCGTGAACTTCTTACCTGCCACTGGTGATATTCCGCAGTTAACCTCAGAGTTTGGTGTAGATCAGTCTAGACTTCTTGCTCAAACTGAATAAACTTTGCCCGCTTTTCCTTCTTCTTCTCCTCGCTGGCTAACACACACACACACACACACACACACACTTGCTAACGGCCGCTGAAATATCTCCGCTCCTCACGAGCGATCACCGATCCCGCGTCCTCTCGCCGGTATCTCTCGTTGAGGTGTTGAAGTGTTACCGGGGATCGCAGGTGTGGATAACAGCTCTTCCAGATTTCAGATAAAGTTTATCTCCACCTTCTCCCGTTCAGCGCCATCTTTCCCGCGGGGCACGCCGGGTAATCCTCAGGAATCCCGACGCGACGCGATGGTTCGCTGATCGTCCTCCTGGAGTGCTGGAATGCTGCTGGGATCAGAGAAGAGGAGGAGAGATGTTTTAGGGAACATACACTTAGAGATCTCGGGGATCTAGTTTTCAGAAGTTGATACTGGCCGTAGCCTAGCAAATAAAATATTGGTTGGCTAAATGTGGTTATTTTTATTTTTTATTTACTTAGCCTAATACTTGTCCTTTCATAATATCTGTAATGTTGGTACCAAATAGACACACTCCAGTGTATCAAACGTCCAGAAAATAGCCTGATAAGCCTACCATAACAAACTAGCAGTCAAATGGGCTGCCAAATACAAATCCATAGCATGAGAGGTGTAGAGAGTGTCAATGTCAGTAAATGTTAAACTGAACTGCGCTATAGGCCTTTCTCTACTAATAACACGTTATAAAATTCAATAAGTAACCAAATTCAACAAGTAACCAAATTCAGTCTAACAGCTCTTCCAGATTTCACATTACTGTAGCTGAATTAAATAGAAGAAAATTACAGGTCATCCAATAATATATATCATTAACACACTCTGTCAACTTTAATAATTTAGAGATTTCATCTGGTTGTGAGTATCATCAGTGGAAAATAATTCCATGTTTTCTTATAATATTACTAAGTGGCAGCATTTATATAAAAAATAGAGGGCCTAACACAGATCTTTGTGGCACTCCATAATTTACTGACATTATCTTAGATTTTTTCCCCGTTTAAAAAGACAAATCTGATAGGATCTAAACCACCTCAATGCAGTCGATCAAAGAATTTTTATGATCTATAGTGCCGAACGCATGCACTAAGATCAAGTAAAACTAGTATTGAGATACAGCCTTGGTCAGAAGCTAGAAGTAAGTCATTTGTAAGTTTAACAAGCACAGTGTCTGTGCTATAATGGGGCCTGAATCCAGACTGAAATTTTTCAGAGATAAACATTTTTTGCAAGGAGGAGCACAATTAGGCGGACACGACTTTTTTAGACATAAATGGAAGATTTTAAATAGGTCTGTAATTTGCTAAATCATTTGCATCTAATTGTGGTTTCTTAATGAGAGGCTTAATAACTGCCAGCTTGAACGGTCTTGGTACATGACCTAGAGATAAAGACGAGTTAATAATATTGAAAAGAGGCTCTTCTGCTACAGGTAACAACTCTTTCAGTGTGGGTATTGGATCTAATAAACATGTTGTTGGTTTATTACATCTATTACCCACTAAACCCTTTACAAACTCTTGATTACATTTTGACAGGGTTCCCATGACCATGAAAACCTGGAAATGTCAGAGAATTTTACGGAAAAATGAGTAAACGCCTTTATTTTGTAAATCATTAAAAAAAAATCATAAAAGTTGTTAAAATAGGGATTTCTCTCTCTCTCTCTCTCTCTCTCTCTATATATATATATATATATATATATATTAGGGCTTTCAAATGATTAATCGTGATTAATCACATCCAAAATAAAAGTTTTTTTTACATAATATATGTGGGTGCACTGTGTATAATTATTTTATATATATAAATACACACACATGCTTGTATATATTTAAGAAATATTTTCATGTATATACTGTATATAGATTTATATATAAATTATATTATATATAAATATAAGTATTTTATATATAAATTATATTTTTTTCTTAAATATACATGCATGTGTGTGTAGGCTATTTATATATATACAAAATAATTATACACAGTGCACCCACATATATTATGTAAAAAACAACTTTTATTTTGGATGTGATTAATCGTGATTAATCATTTGACAGCCCTAATATATATATATATATATATATACAGTATATATAACTTTTATTTAAAACCATGAAAATACAGATCCTTTTCCATTATTACCCCTTAGTAGATTTTGACTTTTGATTATATAATCAAAAGTCCTAATCTACTAAGGGGTAATAATGGAAAACGATCTGCATTTTCATGGTTTACATTAAAGTTTTTTGTTATAATAGACAATAAAAACAACTTTGTGCATAAAAACCACTCCTTTATTGGTAAAATATTAGCTTGATTTTCAAAAGTCAACGGATTTGCGACAGATGAATGTAACATTTTTGACAAGCCAAACATGCCAGTCTCTAGGTTTATTTAAGCCACAAAAGAAACTTCATACAATTAAATAAGTAATGAACTAAGCAAAATGCATTTTGAATTGAATAATTACCCAAAAATCAAGTTAACCCCTTATGCACGTTATCACTTCCGTCAAAAACAATTTGTCTGCATGGCTGTCGGAATATTAGATTTAAAACATTGACATAACACACTCATGGGCAGCAATCAGTTCCCCGAATAATTGTTGGCTAAGAAATTAATAATTATACCTTACGATCCCTCTGTTTTTTAATCTTCCACATCATTTGAATATCCCAAAATCGATGTCTGTCAAAAAATAACGTGCACAATCCAATATAGTATTTATGAGAAGCAGAGGTCCAGCAAGTACACACATTTCCTGGAAAACCCACACCACCGGATGTTTTGAATGCGTCATTGCTTTCCAAGAAGAAGGAGAAATGGTGGCCTTCAACATGCTGTCTGTCAGAGACTAACGTGCATAATACAATAATGAATGGGAGTATAAATGTGTCCTTCATTCGGCTGAAATCGTAAGGATCAGGGGACTGAGTGAAATACGTCACACTGCATGCTAAAGAGAATAAACACCAATCCAACTGAAAAACACGTTCAACGTGTTGGTTTTGACGGGCATTTTTTATGCACAAACTCCATGTAGTCCATGTAGTCGTCCAATTTGACTCAAATGCTGATGCAAAATGTATTATAAACTTCACAGGTGATTTTAATAAAATGTAGTTTGATCACTATTTTCTTAGTTGTTTAAAAAAATTTATGATCAAAGTCAATATTGTTAATTTTCCTTATCCAAAAGGGAAGAACATTCAAACAGAATAAGATTGAAACATACCTGAACAACACAGTATGTCAGGGAGATAAACTCAGCAGCAGATGGCAGTCAAGGGTGCTGTACGCCTCATGGCCAAGGGGCTTCAGCATGCAGAATGTTTGTGTGGTTACCGGTAAGTGTGGCATCACTGAGAGCACTAGGCTAGCAAGAAAAGAGTCTCTGGGTGTGCATAAGAAAAACTGGGTGTGCCACATTTATTGTCAGATTAATGTGCAATAAACCCAGACTCTGCCTATCTCTAACTTTACAGAATAGACTGGCTGATGTGTAAAACTATAGGCTACTCAGCGCCAAATAACCATAATACTATATAAAATATAACTCAGGGCTCGACATAAAGCCTCTTCATGTGCTTGTCCTTCGAACAAGTAAATCGGTCACTTGTCCAAGTAAAAAAATTACTTTTCCAGAAAAAAATGCAATAATAAAGCAATATTCTCATCAGTGTTCAGTCAACTTTGACATATTTAAATCTGCATATTTCTGACATTTTTAACCTTTATAAAGTACATTTTTCCTTATTCGTTTTAAATATATGCTTCATCTTTCATTTTAAATTCTTAAATTTGATCAATAAATTAAATTAAAATAATAAGACACTGGCTGCTACCAATCAAATTAAATAATTTTCAGTGAAAAATTACAATGGCATTAAATAATGTTATGAGATTGTTTTAAATGTTTTTTGAATATACAAATATGAAATATTGGAAAGAATGATACTTTTAAACACAAAACTAAACCACCAATAGGTGGCGGCAGATCCCCGTCTTACTGAGTGAGTCGTTGAGCCATTTATTCAAACGATTCTTTCAAAACGCTGAATTGTTCAAGAGTGAGGCATTTATTTAATGGGTCATTGAATCTTTGACTCAACCGATTCGTTCAAAACGCTGATGATTCAGTAATGCGGTTATGTGTTCTGGTGAGATGTGCTGTGGTTCTGCTGTGATCTTTGTTTGGAACTATTTTCGCTGTTCAAATACAACAAAAACAGTCAATATTGTGTCTAAAATGTAAGTTACTTAATATTAATTTGTTTATTAAACTATCATATGAAATCAGTGGTACATTTTCAATCGTGATGGTATTGCACTCGTGGTGGTGTGATGTTGCTTAACTGTATCATATCATATGTTATAAATATAAGAACTCCTCATGAATTTTTACCGCTGTGTAACGTTATGTTCATTAAGTTTCTTTGTGTGATCTGGGCTCATTTGTTTCCATTTCTCATGAGGCACGAGCAACCGTGTTACCTAAGACAGTCAGAGGCTGTTTGCGGATTGGTCGGCAGATTTTTTTTTAACGATAATAATTAAAACATTTAATTAAATTTTAAATTAACAAATTGTAAGTAAATAACAATAGGTCAAGTTTAGATTTTTAGCTACGCCAGTGTGTGCAGAGACCTGGCAAACAAAAACACTGACTCCTGTGTGCAGATTACAGTTAATAAACAGAAAATGAAGTGTTCTAATTTCTCTTCCTGCTTTTTTCCCTCTTCTCCCAGTTTAGTCACATCAGTAACCTGACCATGTCACTATGATCTTCTTCTAGAGGTGTGGTGAACTGAGCAGATAAAAAAAAAAACTTTTTCCCACACTGTTTGGGTCTAACACAGCGTTTTAAGGCAAAATCGATTCACTGAGGAAACACATCCGTCGGTGAGGTGGCGTTGTCTTAGTTGTTTCTCCCAGATGTGAGGCCCTTCATCTGACAGGTATCAGGTGAATACTAATGCTGAACCGCTCTGTCACTAAAGCAGACAGCTGACCTCAGAACAGCCGGCACAAAGCATGTGCTTTTAAAGGGGTCATAGTCTGCTTGCCTCAGACCTCCTGCTGGCTTGTATTGAAGAGTTGGGGAGGCAAACATTTGCATTTCAAGCAAAGAGGAGAGACTTCTATGACTTCAAACCACCAACCCTGCATGATTCATTTTCCGAACACCTGCGGACTTGTGTGGTCATGAAGCTGCCTACACAAATGCAAGCAAATCCCTACAAATCCACATGAACAGGGAACATGCCTCTGTGTAGACAAAGAAA